TGTCTCAAAAACATAGTAGTGGCTCTGAAATTAAGTATTTGCAGAATACAAATGCATCCACTAAAACACTCAACATATAGTCTGACTCTGTTGTAGCACATCACTAGTAAAATCAAATCAAGCAATTTTGTTAACAATTACTATTATTATTACAAAAAGCAAGAGTTAGTTGAATTCCTGTTACACTCTGGGCAGTGATCTTAGTGTTTTGTTTATTTTTTTAAAGTTTATTTATTTTGAGACATAGAGAGAGAGAGAGACACAGAAAGAATCCCAAGCAGGCTCTGCACTGTCAGCATGGAGCCCGATGCGGGGTTTGAACCCATGAGACATGAGATCATGACCTGAACTGAAACCAAGAGGCAGATGCTTAGTCAATTCAGTCACCCAAGTGCCCCCAAAGCTAGGTGTTTTATTTAAAAAAATTTTTTTAATGTTTATTTTTGAGAGAGAGAGAGCACACACGAGCAGGGGAGGGGCAGAGAGAGAAGGAGATGCAGTATCTGAAGCAGGCTCCAGGCTCTGAGTTCTGAGTTGTCAGCCCAGAGACCAATGCGGGCTCAAACTCCTGAACCCTGAAATCATGACCTGAGCCGAAGTTGGACACTTAACTGACTGAGCGCCCCCCAAATCTAAGTGTCTTAGATGCATGTTCTCACTTAATCCTGGTAACAATCCTACAAGGAGAGTACTGTGATGCCCATTTTACAGATAAAACTCAGGGCGATTTGGTGAATTGCCTATGTCACATGGAGTAACGGATCTGGGATTCATATCCAGGCTTCCTGCTCTCTGCTCACCCTCCCAACTATGGCAATTGCCGTTGCCCTTTGCTGAGCACCTAATTTAAACCATGGAGTGGAGTGGTGTAGAGCACAAACTCTCAAATCAGCCTTTGTGTAAATTCTGCTTACTTCCTTTTTTGAGTCTGTTTCGTCATCTGCAAAACAGGGACAATGCTAGCACCCATTTCATAGTGTAAGAATTAAATGAGATGTGGCAGGTAGAGGTCTAGGACTCTTACTGTTAGCGTTTCCTCTTGTTTCCTGACACTGGGCCAGGCTTTGCAGGATGAAAAGAAGTCAGAGAGAGGCACCTTTAGACCCAAGTCCACACTGACTCAAAGCCCAGAAAGGCAGAGGAATCTCACTACCGTCTTCACTCGGGCCTTTCTTCTCTAAAAGGTCCTTTTGATTTATTAGCAAGAAGCCATCTGCCGACTACAAAGGCAAAATTTCAATAATTCTCACCCAGTTCCTGGCTAAAGATGCCCAAAAAGACTTCTAAGCCAGTGACTTTCAAAGAGGGAATTTAATTCATATGCTTTGAAGGGGGGGGGGGGCTTGAGGGTTGGGCGGTTTGTTATATTTTAAGTGGGAATGGAAGAGCCATCCCACATGGGCAGCATGTGATGGACCCTGGGGACTGAGGGCCTGTGAATGACCGGGCTTCTACACAGCTTGGCTTCCTATCTGTTCCTGCCATCTTAGAGGTCAAAGTCTCCCCAGACATGGAGACGCAGTCACCTCCTATAAGAGATTTGAAGATGCCAAATATAAAATCAGTCACACGAAGAGAATCTTACGGCCATTGTGCCTATTCCCCTGAGAGAGGAGAAAGGTGATAATGACAATACAGCTGAACCTCCACTTGTAGCTGCTCGATCTAAACAGGAAGATGCTGCCAAGCGTATGGATGCCCACCGACCTGTGCACAAAGCTGGGATCCATTAGGCATGTCAGAACATGAAGCCACATCTATGTAGCACCCCTCCTTCTCACACCTCCAGCCACCTGCTCCATCTTCTGAGCAGGGGAACTGTTTTCTGATCCCTTGGAAGGAACAAATGGCCTGAGACGTTGAATTGGAGAAATCGCTCCCCATTCCGCTCCCCCAGGCTCCCCACAGCAGTTATTAGTTGAGGACCTATGATGTGCCAGAGACTATGCATTTGTTATGACATTCACTCTCCCCATGACACTCAGAGGTGGAGATTGTGCCTTCACTTCACAGATGAGGAGATTTCGGTTAAAAAGTGCTTAGTGCCGCTCAAGGTCATACACCCGCCGAGTGACAGATTTGAATCACTGAGCCCCTCACCAGAGTCCCCTTCTCTTACGCCCGAGATGCTGAGTTCCTTGGCCTGGGCTGCAGCCCATGCAGTGCCCATGCTTGGAGCCCTCCAGGTGAGTCTAATGGGCTGCCAGGGCTGGGAGCCACTGCACTGCATCAGCCTTCCTATAAATCCGTATGTAAATGGGGACTTTATTCCATCTTGCATCACAGATTCCTTTGGGAGTCAGGGTAGTTGTGGATCTACCCTACAGAAAGATAAATGTTGATACAGAAAAAGTTACACACAATTTCAGGTAATTGCGGAAATTTTGAAGCTTCTTCATGGATCCCCCAAGAGTCATGAACTCAAATTAAAGTCAAGTCTGTAAATCCTTGCTTCCAATTATGTAGCCACACAGGGGAGTTAGTTGCAAGCCTTTAAACAATTCATTTTCTTTCTACTGATTCAGAATTCCTGGATCTGTAGTCCTCAAATATGTTCCAGTTGATTCTTATACATCCAACCAGAAGCAGTCTTTGGACTGGTTTTTGGGAACCAGCTCTGTAAATGATGCCCATGCAATGGATCAGAATTCATTTCTGTCACCTCTAATGTTGGACGAGATGCTTAGCCGCCTGAATCTTCTTTCTTCTGAAAAAATGGGAAAAACAATAGTCCCCACCTCGTAGATTTGACGTGGGATTAAATAAAATATTCCATGTCAGTGTTCAGCACAGTGTCTGGCACATTAGTGCTCAATAAACATTAATTTACCCTTGATAAATTATTTAGTATTATTTGTCATTGATGCAATTGATCTCTGTAAGTGGGCTCTTGGTGATAGGAGTGGGAACGGAATCTAATTTCTAGCAGACTATCAACAAAGATACATGAAAGAAAGGAACAAATTGAAAGTTTATTAAGCATTAAGAATAACAGACATATAAGGGTTTGGACTTAACAGCATAAACACCACCAGTATCATGGTGTACAATTAAGCTGACCTCACGTGAACTTGTACCTGTTTAACAGATGCAACCTTTGTGGTGTTGCCAAAAAGATAATGGTTATGGTGGTTGTTATGTTTGGGAAGGTTCTCCAAAATTTAAGATGTTATGATTCAACTTAAATATTCACACACACACACACACACACACACACCCCTCTACATACACTTGGCCCTCTGCACAATGTACTAACTTCAGTTGTCAAAGTCTAATCCAATCGAGATCTAGGATAAGGCTTTGCTCATTTTTAAAATGGCTTTATTAGTTGTAGAGAAAACCAGGAGGAGACCTCAGCCTCCCCAGCGGGGCCCAGGAGCCCTCAGCAGGGAGCTTCACCCTGAGAGCAGAAGACGTCTAGCACACGGTCCCCTATCACCTGCAGCTTGCCGACCCCAGGTTAAATCCCAGCATCCGCACTCCACACAGGCAAACGGGCCAAGCCAGGCTGGCTTGGGACAGCTCTGCTCAACTCTGACAAAGTCTGAGTTTACCTAAAAGGAACACCAGGGGGAAATCAGATAAACAACCGGAAAAAAACCAAGTGTACCTCTGCGTGTTACAGAATGCTCGTTGTTCTCTTCAGGGGTGGGTGGAGGAGAGGGGCTCCACTGAAAATTCTTTTAGGCTCAAGACCTTTTAAATGCACATTTAGAATTATTGTGTGTTCCTCACAAAACCAGAGAGTGGGAAGGAACCCCTGGGTTCTCCAGCACAGCATCCTATCCACCCCACACCACATCCCATCTGCAGGCTCCTGGAACAAAGGGTCCATCTGCTTTGAGGGATGACTTCCCCCAGGCCTGCTGCACTGGAAGATGAAAGGCCTAGCACAGTCTTGTCCACTGAGTGTTTTGAATGGTCACAAGGTGGCCATTTCTCCAAAGGAGGACGTGAGCGCTTCCAGCCCTCCTATTCCTTACCTGCAGCCTCAAATTGCATGAGGCAGGAGAGCTTTTGTCTTTCTCTTCAATTCTAAGTCCACAGAAACGACACCGCGACCTTGTCAGGAAGTCAGGCCGCTCATTCCAAATTGTATCTAAATGATGTTGGCACGATAGGATTTGAATTCATTTTTAATGGCTGAGTAATTAATCTCCGAAAGATGCTTCTGATGAAAAGGTGAAAAATGACAACAGGACTCTTTTAATAGCTGCGGTCTGCAGAACTCATCTGACCCTGGCTGATCCGAGTCATTCCAGATCGGGCCACGGCTTCCTATGCCAGTGAGCAGAACTGCCTTATTTACTAGTTAATAGCTCTCGACAGAAAGCAGCGAGTCCAGGAATGAGTGTTCATGGTGGGGGGGGGGGGGCAACGACCTACACATAAGGCACGTGTACAGACTCCGAAGATTTTTAAATTTTAAGACGAGGTAGGTTTGTGAAACCTCTCCTGGCACACCAAAGAGTAAATTTTATTATGATCTTTTTATTTCTTCCTCAAAGAACATTTGTGATCTTCATTTGACACAGACAACCTATTCCAAGAAAGACCAGTGCTCAAGTAAATACAGTTTTCTCAGCCACCATCTCATGAACTTGGATGGTCCATGGAGCAACGCTTCTCCACTTAAAGACATTGGCTCGTCTCTGTTTTAGTAACTCCTGCCACTGAATAATTCTGCTGCTATTGGTCTCTCTACCTATAAAAAAGCCAACGCTGCATCCACTGTGTCCCTTCTTAAATATTACTTATGCAGTTCTGCTTAATTTGGCCAAAGGTTTTGTTTCTTTTCTTAGTTGTAGACCTGAACAATGCAATTCAAATCCAAGGCTCTCGCATGTCTGTAATCTGTAGCTCGGGACAAAATGAGTATCTAGTAGAAATATCCTTCTAGTCAGATTTCCCGAGACTATAACACGGAGACAGAAGCATTGCTGGTGGATGGACAAGGGGATCACCAGGTCATTCAAGAATTAGATACTCTGGAGGCAGGAGACTAGAAAATCCCATTGGTGAAAGGGTGTTTTAATCTAGCACAAAATGTTTCTTTGCAATAACAGCAGAATCTCTTGACATTACACAACTCGGTCAAACAAAGAACAATCATCTTTAAGGTCAAAACATCTACCAAATTATAAACCATACACATAACACCAATATCAACCTTATACTGCATAAGACGCACGTGCCCACAGAGGGGAACAGAATTGTTTGGGGTGCTTGCAGTGATATTTCATTCCAGAAACTCGTAACTTTGAAGTGAACGTTTTCATGGCAGATGCTTTTCCTAAAAAAACCCACTGTATCAGCCAATAAATATTTGACTAACATCCACTTTGTGCTTTTGGGTGACGTTAACTGACTTCTTTCTGAGACCTAATAGGAAACAAGAAAGCTCCTTATATATTTTAGAGCGGGATTCGTCACATCAAGCTTCGATACTGTCATAAAATTTTAATTTAAAGCAAAAAACATGCTGATGTATCAGTGACAGGCTTAAAATATTAAAGACTTCAAAAACCACCAAGCGCTTCTTTTCTGTACAACACTGATGAATATATATCTTTGCTATATAATTTTAAGACATGGAATAGTTTTCCTTTTCTCTTTGCTATATATAATATATGTCTTCCAAAATACATTGTCAGTATTTATATCTGAAAAATACTGTACAAAAAAGAACTTCCTATAATTACTCTGTATAAACATTAAACAATTTAATAATCTCTCCTTTTGGTCTATAGTAAACATTTAAATTGATTGGATTAACCACAGTTTGTGACAACACCATCCTCTTCCGAGATACACCAGTGTCTTTTACATTCATTTTTCACAAGTCCTCTTGATAATAGCACATACTTTCAAAAAGCAAACAGAAAATAAGAAACATAAGCTCCAGAATCATTAATTTATGAAGCATTCGAAAATGACACCACTAGGAAAAAGGGTCTTACAAAACATCAACTCATTAACTTAATTAACTGATTTTTAAAAACAGCAAGGTATAATTCACAAAAATATATATATTACCAAAAAATGGGGAAAACTGAATCTTAAGTAATTGTTTTGAATATCAAGAGGGATATGGAAAGAGGGAACTAGAAAAGTGTGTGTGTCGGGGGGAGAACAGAGAAAACAAAAGCAAACATCAATGTCAAAAGCTGTTCCAAGATGCAATTTTTTTTTTTTTTTTGTGGCTCCTACACTGATAAATTAATCCCTCATTCTTAGACCTGGCATTTCCCTCTGCTTCCTTGTCCTGGGGATGTTCTGGGCATGCTCAAATGCATTACTGTAATTTTTGTTTTTTAAAAGACAGTGAAATTCTTAGGGAACATATCCTATGTGCACTAGTAATACTCAGGCAGCATGCTCTAGCGTACAATAGGATTATTGCTTTAGGTACAGACGGTGCAAAAACACACTCTGTGTTCTAGAATAGTACTCTTACTTACCTGGGGTTTGTAGAATTAAAAGGAAACTTAGTAAATACCAGTAAGTAAATATGGGATCTAATAAATCTAAACAGCACTTGAAATTTGAAGACAATTATCACCAAAACTGAAAATATGAGGAAAGCAACCTATAACTGAAGAAAGAGAGAGAGAGAAAGAGAGACTGAGATTGAGAGAGATTGAGAGAGAGCTGCAGTGTAGTGCTAAGTGATTTTTGTGCACCTTATTAGCATGGTAACTTACAGAATAAACAGAAACAAGAGCTCATAGTCTTGACAACTGAGATCTACTATTTTACCAGGGCCCTGCTTGGTGGAGTCCAGCAGAGGGTCCTGGAAGAGCAGGCGGGAGCCACCAGATAGTGACACGGGAAGGGGCAGGAGGGGGGGGCGGGGCAGGAGACCCCATGAGGCGTCTCCACAGTCCAGTAAAAACACGGCACCTTTCTTTTTCGGAGCTGAAAGATGAGGAGAGGGCTACCTTAACACGGCAAGTGGAAAGGCGCGCGCGCGCACCGCGGACCACACGGGAGCACAAGCACGCGCGCGCACGCACGCACACCAGAATGTGAGTCAGTCGTGTTTATGCCTCTGGTAAAGTGCTGATGTCAGAAAGGTTGGTTCGGATGTGGTGCTCTCAGGCGGGAAACACACTGTCCATCTACTGGAAAGCCAGCCCACAGGAAGCCATCCTACAGGGGCCCGTGCCTGGCCTCGTACTTGGCAAGTATGTTCTTGCATTTGCCCAGCTCCTTCCGCAAGTCAGCCACCTCTTGGCGCAGGGCCGAGTTCTCCTTCTCCAGGAAGGACGCCCGGATTGCGATCTGGTTCTCCTTCAGCCGCCTGGCGTCGCGGGAACGCTTGGCTGCCATGTTGTTCTTCCTACGCCGGGCCCAGTACTTGTCATCCTGCTCATTAGTCACAGGGGGAAAGAAACAAGATGTTAGATTTCAGCCGCGGCGCAGGGGCCCGGGGTGGCGCCCAGGAGCCAGGGACCCACGCATCTCACTTCGCATCTCCTTCCCTGACAGTCTGTTTGCCTCTGAGACTACTGCTCATGCGCCGTGGCTTCGCTCCCGCAGCGTGGACGCACCTGTCCCAGCGCGCCCCGCCTTACTCTGCCCTGCAGAGGCGACGCCAGGGGCTGCACGAAAGCAAGTGGCTCACCTCACACCCTAAACTACATTCGGATCACAGTGCTTTCTTTGCTGAATGTTTTAAGAACCCTTTTCTTCCACTGGCGCTCATATGCTTGTTGGTAGAAGTCCATAGGATATTGTTGCAAGGCGACTTGGCAATATCTATCAACTATTTAAATGCACTACCATTGATGAAGCAACTCGTCTTCTAGTATCTGCCTCCACCCATCTGCATGCATCTGCACACAGACAGACCGGGGCACAGAATTTTCACTGCAGCATTGTCTCCAATGGAAAGAGATGGGGGAAACTAGGCAGTAGGAGATTTAATAACTACATGATGGTAAAGCCATACAAAAGGATACTCTGCAGCTGTTACAAATAATGATCCAGCTGAGCCAAAAAGATGTTCACGATCTACCACAATGTGGGTGGAAATGGCAATTTACTGATAAATATGTATGGCCTCATCTCACTTTGGTTAAAAAAAAATCACAATATTGTATATCATAGAAAGAGGCCCGGAAGGATTTATACCAAGTTATGAAAAGTGGTGCCTCTAGAAGGGGAATCGGAGGAGGGATGCCAAGGAGAGAAGTGGGATCTTTCACCTTTTCTTTCTGATGTATCCCTTGGTAATTAAAAACAGAAAGAAAAAGAAAACTCTCCACCTGCCACTGATCAATATGCTCAAATGTCGTGGCTAGCATTTAAATAATTTACTCTAATTTCCTGTTTAACTGTTCTCTAGGCCTTAATTCACCTGGGTACTATTTAAATGTGGTCAGTGTGAAAGCAATGTGTCCTCTTCCCCTCATCCTTGCCTCTCCCCCAAAGAAAGGAAAACTTTCCTAGGAAGACTAAGAAATGTCAATCTTCTTTTAGGTCTTACCAATTCATTTATGGAGCCACCTGGTGTGTTTTGCAAACCCCTCTTTCCAACAACTTGCAACAGCAAATCCCTCCATCCTAGCAAGGCTAATATTTGCAGTTATCTGTCACCCAGAATGAGTGAGCTGAGGCCAGTTCTTTCCCTCCCCCAGGATTGCAAGGGGCAGTCGGCACTGGAGGAAGTCGCGTGGGTTAGGACCACGACTGCAAGGAAGGTCAAGGTCAGTGGTGCACACCCATACCTGCCCGTTACCCTTGGCAAACATTTGCCCTGCACAAAGACGGAACGTGTGAGATAGAATGTCCGTGCACCTTGTGTCGGCCACTCACAACCTGGTACTGTTATTTATAAAGCACACCTAGCATAAATAATAGTATGTATTTGGTACATATTATTATTGTATATTATATTAACAAATAATATTGTATATTATTGGGTATATTGTATTACCAAATACAAATATTATTTGGTAAATGTACCAAATAATATTTGGTACGTTTCATAATAATATGTACCCAAATGAAAAACTGATCTTCATAAGAGCTGGTACCTTCTTTCAGAGAAGAAGGCTGTCCTTTGAAGAATACCTGGATAAGTCAGCTGCAGGCAGGTGTGCTGTGGCCAGCCATGGGATTTGTCATTTGTGCTTGGAAAAGGGGACAAGGGGCTGAAGAAAGGGGAGAGAGTCCTGGCCAGCTGGTTGGTGTGAGCTGGGAGGAGCTGAGAGAGTCACAGGACTTCACTGGAGGTAGGAAGACCTGAAGGCATATTAACAACAGTGAAGCCTCCAGTTCTGAAGGCAGCTGTTTGTTTACTTTGATATAAGCCCCAATTCCACTCTACTAGTCTCAGTGAATCTACCACATTCAATGTTCCTTGGGCATATGGTTCCAAGATTGTTTAAAAGAGGGGCTGACTCAGTACCCAACACAGAGGAACAGGAGCATGGAGGTGAAGGAGTTCATGAGAACAAGCCCCTGGGAAGTGGCAGAAGTTTGGGGAGTAGAGGGAAGGGAAGGGGTGTACTGCCCTAGGCCATGAACTTGGTGGTGTGTCACTGGGTATTAAGGAACAGGAGGTCACCAGCTGACCTCAGGGGAACAACCAACATTTCCGTCTCTTAGAGCTCTTCTCACTTGTAAGGTGTTTTCATTTCCCAGCCTCCCCTGTCCACATATGCAGGCCAGCTAGGAAAGGTGTGGAGTGGGGACCATCTCAGGTGAGAGGGGAGCTGGGAAGAGGAGAGGAGTGGAGCAGAGGCTGCAGAAGGCAGGAATGAATGATGGAAAGAGGAGTACCAGAAAAACCAGCTTGCCTCCCTTTGTTACCAGGGCACGGTTGGAGGAGGGGGGCGGGAGCAGGATATTGAGTGCCAGTGACCACTTTGGCACCATATTCCTGTCCTCTTCTCTATTCCCTGATGCAGGTGCTATCTGGCTAGCTGGCTGCCCCCACCCAGCAAGGGCCCACCCAGTCCTGCCCCATCATCTTCTGGAAGGTCTCATGTTTGACACTGCCTCCCCTGGCCAGTCCCCTCCTGAAAGCCAGTGATCCCTTTCTCTTGCCAGATTAGAAATTCCTCGAGAGTAGGAACACAATCAGTTCTGGTTCACCTTGGTGTATCCCCAGGGTTTGGAACACACAAGCCTTTAAAATATCTCTGTCAAGTGAATGAATGGACAGTTAAAAGTATTAAGACATCAAGGCGATTAAACCGATTCTCAGCTAGGAATCGTGGAACTGCGTTATTTCTCCTGGGGCATGCACACTAAAGGAATGGCTCAACAGAGTGGTTCAGGCAACTGTGGGCAAGACCGTTTATTAGTGGTGGGGCTATATCACTCATTTAGTTTGCTCATCCAATGCTGGGGGACACAAATACGTCTTCCATCCACCCCCTAGCTCAGTCCTCTCTGCTGGAAGGAGAAATAAGTTACAGCTCTGCTTCTTGTTTTGCATAAGATCATGGTCTGTGGCCTGAGGCTTCACTCACAACTGAAGAAATCCAAGGACACCTGGCAGAAGAATGTTCCTGCCTGCTACTTACCTGCCATGGGAGAAGGTCAGGCATGGCCATGACAGCCATACTAGGCATAATTCCAGCACAGACTGTTTTCACATGGTCTCTTTGTTGCCAAGGTTACCTGGGTTATTAAGTGAGCTTGCTCTTTGCTTTGAACTTGTAAATCTGGAGACCCTGTGAAGTTCTGGCTGGAAGTTTTATCTACTGCTCAGCATCATCCTTCTGAACTACCCTATGTTCAAATGGAAATCCATGCTTCATGGCTCCCCATGCTTCATGGAATCCACCATGGCTCCCCAGTTTATCTGAAGAGGTGAGCTCAGAAATACACACAGGATCGGGTGGCTAAGATGAAGAAAAGCATCCAGCTGAAAGAAGATACTCAGTTTCCCAGGACCTAATTCCATGGCATTTCTTACCTTATCTTAGTCTTGACCATCAGTTCCCTGACTTGTTGAGATTTTTTAAAGTATTATTTATTTACATAATCTCTATACGCAATGCGGGGCACGAACTCACGACCCCGAGATCAAGAGTCCCACGCTCTTTCAACTGAGCCAGCCAGGAGCCTCTTTTTTAGATTTTGTGGACTGTTAACTATGAAATTTACTCTTTTGATTCTTAGGGCAACAGCTACTGGTTTGTCACCCAAGGGACCCTGCTGTGGCCCCTGTCAAAGCCAACATGCTGCAGTGACCTTTCTGGAAACTAGAAGACTTGGGGACCAGGCCTTCCACTAACTAGCAGTGTTCACCTCACTTCACCCTTCTCTCTCTCCATTTCCTCAACTGCAAAACAGTAACTTTGGTGTAATGAACCTCTGAGGTCCCTGGCAGCCCTGACATCTGATGAGTCTGCTACAATCAAGGTAACCTCAAGTATGTAGGCAACAGCAGTGATTTCAATCTGCGGAGTACCTTTTCCTCCAGTGCTCTTTCTAGATGGCAAAAATAGGTAACAGGTTGAAACTAGTTCCAGGACAATGTTCCAAACTCCCACGCCTACAAGTGACTTTCCCTCTGAACCACAGTTAGTTTTGAGAACTGGGGGGTCAGAAGTTAGAAAAAGGCTAATTATGCCTGGTGTCAATGCCTCTAACGTATACAATCAAATCTCGATTGTCCGTATGATTGGAAGGAAGCACAAACTCAAGAAATTCTAAGCCATGGCTAATTAAAATGGTTCTATTTTGGGATTAGTGGACATGGCATAATTTTGGAAAGAATTCTCATTAATTATCATTAAATGTGTCAGATTAATTTTGTTTCTAGTTGTGTCAGACTTCATAAGGTAAATCTATTTTCCTTTATAAATCATGTGTCCCTTCAACACAGATGAAAAGAAACAACAACTTGGAATTAACTTTTTGTTGAGATACTCAAGTGACCATTATTTAAAATACAGAGTACACAATTACATATCAACGACAGCAGGGAATCCACCAGCTTCCTTGAGAAAACCCCACCCAGGTCCTCCAGGGTGGCAACAGGGAGACAGGTCTTATCTCTGGCTGTTATTCCCTGGGGCTTCTGGGGAAAAGGCAGATTGATTATTAACAAGTTCCCCAAGGAAGGTAAGCCTTGGAAAACTATTGGTCCAGATGTCCTTTGCAGATAATTTCCTTTCTCTTTCCAACCCTGAAAGATTTTGGGTTTGAGTTGATCTTATGGGGTTGTCATAGCATTCTCTGCAGATAGCAGGTTTGTTTCCTTCATGGGTTGTAAATCACTCCAGCATTTTTATTGCTTCTTCTTTCTGTGCTATATCAAGACATGCAAGGCATATTTCAGAAGATACCCAGGGAAAAAGCAACTTGCCCACAGTTCACATGCCAAGAAACAGGATCAGAAATCACAAGTCCATGGTTCACTAGCTTGTGTGATCTTCCTAGAGGTCACCCTTTTAATCTGCCTCTTGACCCCACCCTCCATTTGCCCAAAGCCTGATGACCAGTTCCAATTTACCTTCAGATCATCAGGGATGAAGACTTTGCGTGCTTTCTTAATCATGGGCTGTGGCTTCAGTTCTTCCTCAGAGAACTTGCGTTTGCGAGGGTCAAACATTTCCTGGCCAGGGATGCTGGAGAGGGCAAGATCTGCCGGGTCTGGCTCATAACCCACAGGGACCTGGATGGTGTCAGGATCAATGGGACTCGGTGTATTGCGGTTTGCTGGCAACAGCTGACCTGGAATGAGGCAGGAGCTTTAATTCAGGAATACTACCAGAGCCCCAGATAGCTACTTGATGGTACTTCAGGATAAGTGGCAAAAGTCTTCAACTTACTTATATATGTCTAACACTGTTTATTTTATTTTTCCTCACTATGTTACTGAGAACACAGCAGGTTGAGTATGATTTTACCCATGTCAGATGAGGCAAAACAAAGACCCACACACATGTTTGCAAACTAAATTTAAAAAATATGGGGCGCCTGGCTGGCTCAGTTGGTTGTGTCCAACTTGAGCTCAGGTCATGATCTCACAGTTCGTGAGTTCGAGCCCCACACTGGTCTCTCTGCTGTCAGCTTAGAGCCTGCTTTGGATCCTCTGTTCCCCTCTCTCTGCCCCTACCTGACTCTCTCTCAAAATTAACATTAAAAAAATTCGTGCATTCATTCTTTCCTATAACACATTCACGGAGCACCAACTATGTGCCAGGTACTCTGATTTTACCTTTATGGTGTTTTCCAGATAAGTCAAAGAATCAGACCCATCACTAGTCAGTTATGATATAGTGAAGGTGCTGAGACATAAGTAAGCATCACGTGTTTCCAGAGCGTGGGGGACAGTATATAACACAAAGGAGGTTAGGGATAGTTTGTAGAGGCGACACTTGGTGTAGCTGCATCTTGAGACAAACAGTAATTAGCAAAAAAAAAAAAAGGTAATCTAGGGACAAATATAAGCCAGAGGGCTGCCTTTTTGAGGGGCACAAGTGGTCTTGGGTAGCTGTAACACTGACTCAGAGCACAAGATGAAGTGGAGAGAGACACAAATGCAAGAGATGTGGTCAGGAGGGTGGATAGTGGGGATGTTACAAAAGGCACCGAATGTCACTGAAGGGTTCTGAGCTCCGAAATGACAGGCAGAGCTGAAGTAGGCAGAGAAGACTCAGGCAGTGTGAGGAATGGACCAAAGGAGGGACCGTGGAGATGGGACTCGGCTTCCAGGGTGCTGTGATGACCCACGTGTGTGTCTATGTTGGCAGTGGAGACAGTGGGCAGAGGGTATGTTCAAGAAGCATTTCACAAATCAGAAAGGACACAGCAGAGGGGACCTGACTTCCACTTGCGGTTCTGCCACCCCTGAAATGCACAAATGTCCCCAGAACAACGGGCTTATTGTGCTTCCAAATGTGTCTTACTGGTGAAAGTGAACTTAATGACAGACTGCGATGTTTACGCGGGCGGCTCTGAATCTCCACTTCTAATTTCAACTGAATTTTACAATTGCCCCTTTCACACCCAGAGAATAAAGGATACAGTCCGACTGTGTTTGGCACACCTCCCCCCCTCCCCGTCCCTCCTTCCTCACTGCCGATGGTTGGACAACGTGTGCAATCTCCTTTAGGCTTCATTAAAACCTACCCCAGGTTGAAGCACGAAGCCAGGGGCTCACATTCTAGCTGAACTATAAAACCATGCTCATCTGTTTTCTGGAAAGGCCTGGTGGGGAGCCTGCAAAATGAATGTTCTGGGTGACCTTTTAGGTCCTCACTCTGCTTGGAGCTCTCTTTGTATCCTGCTTGCCAAAGAGGAAGAGATGGGCCCCCGAGGTATTGGCAGAGGACAGAGATTTCTCATTAGCCAGCCTGCAGCTCAGCTACAGCTTCTAGAGACTGCTGAGTTCGGTATTGGATGGTGTCAAGCTAGATTTGATCTTGTGCCTCTTGACATCGCCTCAGAAAATGAACCATTCTGAGTCAAACGGGGATTTTATTTTCCCTTTAGAAATTCTCTTTGAACTAGATAACAAATCTACCCGATGCCATATCACTACCAGCACCACTGCACCAGCACCTCCCCATCACACACACACACACACACACACAAGCATGTGCACCCTCTCCTACCCTCTGGAAGCATCTTGTGGTTAGTATTTCCCAAACCTAATTGCTACAAGTTACTTCACATTTTTCTTGAGGACTTTGGAATTCTGTTAATTATTCTATATTGTAGTGTTTTCCCTTATTGCTTTATAAATGTTAAGCTTTACACACACACACACACACCACTCCTCTACTGGACAACATGGTCTTTCATGTTTCATCTACTGTATCCCCACCCCTCCTGACCCGTGGTACCTACTTCGGAGTTCGGCTTCTACAAAGTGTACTCCTCATGTAATGGTGGCCCTCTGGGATGCTGGGCTCTGACATTCATTCGTGGACATTCTAACAACAACATGGGCTGAAACTTAGTTGGGCATTCTTTCTCCCCAGCCCTTTCTGCAGTGGAAGTAGGTCATGCCTCCCTGCAGAATGCAGAAAACCTAACTGGAGCATAGATAAGTTCAACGGCTTCCCCAGCATCAAACAGCACATGGCAATGGACCCGAGTGAACCTGAGAAACACATCCAGAGATACTCTTGTGCCATCTCGTTTACCTACATTTTCTACTGAGTTAATTCTGCTGGACTCATTCCCCGCCCCTCCCCCATTCTAAAATGTCACCATTTGGGTAATAAAAAGGAGAACCTTTATTATTTTGTCTTACCTTTGAAGATTTTCAAAATTTTTACATAAGAATTTTCAACTTAAGAATGTATTGTGCCATACATTTTTAAAATTACCAAAGATGTTCATTGTAAAACTTCAACAAATGCAGAAGTGTGTCGAGAAGTGCTTCTCTCCCCTGCCTCCAATCCATCTTGCTACTTTTCCCAGAGGTGACAGCCCTTAACTGCTTGGTGAAAACCTTAATTTTTACACATATGACTTAGTAGGATTATACTACCCACATATCTTAAATTACTTTTTCAACATACCATATACAATTTCCCACGTTAGTATAGTTTTATTTATTTATGTATTTATTTACTTACTTACTTAAGTTTATTTACTTTGAGAGAGGGAGGGAATGCATGAATAGGAGAAGGGCAGAAAGAAAGGAAGAGGGGGAGAGAGAATCCCAAGCAGGCTCTGCACTATCAGGGCTTGAACTGACCAACTGAGATCATAACCTGAGCTGAAGTCATATGTTGAACCGACAGAGCCATCCAGGTGCCCCTACTTTGTTCTTTTTGAAAGGGTGTATAGTGTCTACCTACACATTTCCAACTGATAGATTTTTAGGTGTATATTTTTGTAGAAGAGATTCCTAGAAGTGGGAGTGCTCATCCAAAAGGGATGTACATTTTATATTTATAAACATGCTGCTAAACTGTCATATCTACTTACACTTGTACCAACATTTATGAGTGGATTTCTGCACAATTAAATATTAATTTTTAAAATGCTGTCAATTTGATGGACACAAATATCACTATTGTTTTAATTTCCATTACCATTATTACTAATGAGACTGAACATCTCACCTATTTATTGAGTATTTATTTCTTCTGCTATATACCACCTCTTCCTTCCTATCATTTGCCCCCTTTTAAATGGATTTTGTTGCTTATTCATTTGTAAGGACTCTTTATAGACTGAATATCATCCTTTTATCTGATTTATCTAGAGAAAACATTTTCTCCATGACTACTATTTTCTAACTTTGCTTATGGAGTTTTTCACTATTGGCAAGATCTTACATTGTAATGTAGTAGTATTTTTTAAAAGTCTGCTTATTTTTGAGAGAGACAGAGACCATGTGACTGGGGAAGGAGCAGAGAGAGAGGAAGAAAGAGAGAAAATCCCAAGCAGGCTCCGCCACTACCACAGAGCCTGATGCAGGGCCCAAAATCACAAAACTGTGAGATCATGACCTTAGCCAAAACCAAGAGTCAGACTCCCAACCAACTGAGCCACCCAGGCACCCCTGTAATGTAGTAATATCTTGAAATCTTCTACAGGACTGCTGATGCATAGGGACACATGTACCCCTATTTCAGCACTCTCAACAATAGTCAAAACATGGAAAGAGCCTAAATGTTCATCAACTGATGAATGGATCAAGAAGATGTGGTTTATCTATACAATGGAATACTACATGGCAATGAAAAAGAATGAAATCTGGCCATGTGTAGCAACATGGATGGAACTTGAGGGTGTTATGCTGAGTGAAATAAGTCAGGCAGAGAAGGACAGATACCATATGTTTGCACATACAGGAGGATTAGGAGGAAGTTAATGGAGGACCATGGGGGAGAAGAAAGGGGGAAAATAGTTGGGGAGAGGGAGGGCGGCAAATCATGAGAGACTCTTGAATGCCGAGAACAAACTGAGGACTGATGGGGGTTGGGGGAGAGGGGAAGGGGGGTGATGGGCATGGAGGAGGGCACTTGTGGGGATGAGCACTGGGTGTTACATGGAAACCAAGTTGACAATAAACCATTAAAAAAAAAAGACGTCTATACCCACCCCCAAATTATATTATATATGCACACATATGTATACATCTATCTATATCTATGAATTATTTTTTTATTAAAGTTTACTTATTTTGAGAAAGATAGAGAGTGCACATGAGTGGAGGAGGGGCAGGAAGAGAGGGAGAGAGAGGGAATCCCAAGCAGGCTCTGTACTGTCAGTGTGCAGCCTGATGTGGGGCTCAAATTCATGAACCATGAGATCATAACCTGAGCCAAAACCAAGAGTCAATGCTTAACCAATTGAGCCACTGAGGCACCCCAACACATATATGTATTTATAGATGTATATTACTCTATATTTTTCTCTAATACAACTATAATGGATTTATATTTTCAGAATTGTGAGCTGCCCAGAATTTAATTTTGTGTGTAGTATAAGCAGGGGGTTTTACTTGATGTTTTCCAAATGTCTTAATATAATGTTATCAGTAAAGTTTGATATTTGATAAGGCAAGTTTTATACCCCTTATTGTTCTTTTTAGAAAATTTTTTTTAGATGGGCATTGAGGACTGTTGGGTGAGCACTGGGTGTTGTCTGTAAGTAATGAATCATGGGAATCTACTCCCAAAACCAATGTACACTGTATGTTAGCTAACCTGACAATAAATTACATATATATGTATATGTGTGTATATATAATAGAAAATTTTTCT